TCTTGCTAAAGTCAAGGTACACCACATCCACTGCTTTTCCTACATCCACAGAGCTGGTCATCTTGTCATAGAAGGATGTTTGGGGAGGGGGAATCTGCTGGTTGCAGTATTAGGTGTGGAGTGATGGTGTTGACACGATGGTCCAGATAATACAGTACTGGCAAGTGTGGGTTTCCTTTTGGTACTAGTTTTTAATGGACTGGATGCATAGTGGGGATCATTTTATTGTGGGGTGCTGGGCAGTATTAGCACTGTTGGTGCATTTGCCGACACATGATTCACAAAATAAACCCTGACATTTCATATAGGAATCTCAAGTGTCAAACACATGCTGACCTGTTGTGGGCTGTGCTCTTTGCAACAGAAGTATTGCTCTAGTATTTTTCCGTAGCCAATCTATAGATTCAAGATAAGAGCTGGGATTTTTCTGAGGGGGGCCTCCAGTCTCACAAAGGGTGCCCTGAGTCTAATGAGGTTGAGAATGGTTGGGCTAGAGACATACTTGAATGCAAACCAGCTGAGCTACTTCCATAAAAGGCAATATTTACATTTAATGGTAAAGAGATCCCATCCTTTCCTCCCAAAACACAGGGGCTAGACATTTCTGGGTTTTTAATAGTAAAAGTTAATTTCCTTCTGCAAAAAGGACTGTTTTATATTTGAAATTATGTGGTACTCCTTTCCACATGATTTCACAGGATCATAGAAAAAGCAAGGCTGTCTGGAACTTGAGGAGGTGACAGCTAGGCCAAGCCCCTGCTCAAGGCAGGATGAGGAGCATCTGAACCACCCTAGACAAGTGCGTGTCTAATCCAGTGATTCTTAATCAAGTGTAGGTGCCCCCAGATCCTGCAAAGGGTGCCAAGAGTTGAGGAGATAAGCAGATAAATGGGGTCTCAGTCTTGCCCCCCCCCCGACCAACTCCCACAACTGCAAGGGGGTAAGCACCGTAGTATGTACAGTATCTAATTGATTTAAAATTAAGATTTTTCCCCTCATTTAACAAGAAGCAACAGGGAGGGGCCAGGTTCTTGCAGATCCAAGTTGGGGCTGTGCTCAGTGCCCCTGGCTGCAGCAAGGATGGATCTGCAGCAAAAGTAAGGGGTGGGAGAAGGGTAGGTGGATGGTAGAGGCTTGGAAGAGGCAGAGAGGGCATGGACCTGAGGCTGAATGGGGCCAGAAGCGGCATGGTGGGTAAGGAAGTGGGGGTCGGAGGCAGGGGACTGGGGGCAAGCTGCCTCCCCTGCCCCCCATAGCCTCAACACAGCCTGCCCCCTTACTGCCTCCCCCACTGCCTGCCCTACTGCATGACCCCCTCCTCTCTCACTGCCTGTCGCCCAACCACCTGAAGTAGTAGGAAGGGAGGGAGGCAGAGAGAGAAATGCAAGATGACCCTCCAATAATTAGATGCCGTACATGGAAAACGATACATATTTATACTTTTTTTTGTCTATCAAATCTAATTATTGGCGGTTGCCTTAAATTCAGGTTCATCTTGGGTCAAATTTGGGTGAATGCGGTGAATAAGCTTTTGACATGGGGTGCCACTTCATGGTAAAAGTTATAGGAGGGCTGAAGTTTAAAAGGTTGAGAACCGCTGGTCTAATCCAGGAGTATCAAACATCCCATCTATAAACTGGTTTGGTCCTGCAGACATGGATCATCTCAGGGTCCTTCTCGTGGCCCAGACAACTCACTGCCTGCGTGGGTGCTCAGTGGCAGGAGCCCTGAGGGCTGACTCAAGGGGGGGCAGACCAGAGGCACCTCCCCAATTGCAGCCAGGCACTGGGTATAACCCATAGCCTTTACCCCAGCCCCTCCCTGCCCCAATTAACCCCATTATCTGCTTTGTTTCACTGCAAAACGGAGGCTTTTGCATCACAGCTTGGTACCTCATCTTGCTGGTAGCCACTGCATTGATCCCCAGGGTTTGAATTACAGGGGAGCTGGGGTGGGGAGTTGAACTCCCCCATAAGAGACAAGAGCCCCCCTGTAAGATTTCAAAATCATAACTTGGGGAGGTCTCCAATTTTATTAGGGCATCATGATGGGCAGCCCAATTTTTTTTGCAGATACCTCCACTCCCCCAAAGTCAAAGTATAATTCAAACCCTGTTGAACCCCACATGCTGGCTGCTGTGATCCAGCCCACAAGGTCAACTGAGTCAACACCCCCCTCATCTGACCTAGTGTTAATGACTTTAGAAACAAACCTTACACTCAGCCCCCCACTTCTCTCTCTCTTCCCCCCGCATAGAACCCAGGTGTCCTAGCTCCCAGCCTCTCTGTTCTAACCCACCAGACTGACCCTTCCCAGCTCTCTTACCACCCCTGGCTGAATCTAACCCACTGGACCCCCTCCCAGACCTGGGAGTGAACCCAGGCATCCTGTCTCTCTGTCCTCCCAGCTCAAACACGCTGGACTCCACTCCCCTCCCAAGGCTGAGAAAGAACACAGGCATTCCGGCTGTCTCAAACCCTCCCTTCACTCATTTCCCAATTCCCTCACCCCCATCACGTGCCCCGACCCAACCAGCTCAGCAAAGCCTTCCTCCCATGGGCACCTCCCCCGGCCTTGGGGGAGGGGGGATTAGGCATGGGTAGGGGAAAGTCACTGTGGGGCCATTCCCTGCACAGCTGAACTGGCTCCAGCCAGGCTCCCAAGCATCCCCGTGCTCCAGGCTGCACCTCAAACACATGACCCCCACATCCAGGGTCTAAACAACACCCCCCCACCCATGACCCAGCACATGCGAACTGGCCCAGACCAGCGAAAACAGGAACTGAAAGTCCGTGCAACAGCGGAGAGCAGGGGAACTGGAAGCCCGGGCTCCTGGGGTCTCAGCTTTTGGCGGAGGGAGTTAGGAGAGGCGGGTGGGAGCCAGGACGCCTGGGCTCCAGCCCTAGGGTATGATCAGGGGCAGCTAGGAACCAGGACGCCTAGGTCCCATCCCTGAGGGGGGGTAGGGGGGTGCAGGACGCCTGGGTCCCGGCTCCATTCCAACCCCGGGGGGTTATTGCTGCTGCGTCACGCGCCGCGGGGGGCTGCGGTCAGGAGCGGAACAGCCGGGAGGCGCCTCGTGACCGGGGGCGGGGCCGGGCGCTGAGTCAGGCCGAGCCCGCGGGTTGTGCTGAGTCACGGTGAGGGCGGCTGGCCCCAGCACCCCGCCTCCCCCCTCGCGGGGCGTCCGAGCACTAGCCTCTCTGCTCCCCACCTCGGGGAGACCCCAGGCGTCCTCTCTTTTCCCCAGTCCAGGAGAAAGCCCAGGCGTCCTAGCTCCCAGCACCCCCCTTCCGCTTCCCAGGCGAGCACCCAGGCGTCCCAGCTCTCGGTCCCCTGCTCTCACCCACCCGCCCCCAGAACTGGGGGAGAACCCAGGCGTCCCCTTTCTTTCCCATTGGTAGGAGAGAACCAGGCGCCCCACTCCCCCCAGCACGGAGCCCGGGAGTCCTAGCTCCACCCCCAACCCCGCAGCCGGGGGTGGGGCGTCCTGTGCTGGGAAGAGC